TCCAGCTTAGGCCATCCTATGATTCTATGATACTAGTTTTTTCGTCGTCTTTCAGATTAGTTCCAGGTACAGACTACTACAGACAGCCTACAAATAAGAGTTACTGCATTTGGAAGTGTAATCCTTACCTATAAGCAATGCACCTCTGACAACACACACTGGTGATGGAGATATCAAGATGCCAAATGAGAGATAATTTTCCTGTATATGTGTTGGTGCCTCAAAATAAGCCTCTTCTAAAAAAGCTACACATCCAAGTTTGGGAGCATCTATGCTACATCAGTTAGAATAATGCTTAGTTCTTTACAGTGAAAATTGAGTTTAAATTTATTTGGATGAGATCCAGTGGGATAACTTCTAACAATAAAAGTGGTAGAACTTGATACTTAGGTATTAAAATAATACCAATTTAAAATCAAACTGCTCTCCTTCAAGACACAAATACAATTTAGGGTAAAATGCATACATTTTCTGAGGCTGGTGATGACTCATGTTCATATGTTCACAAAAACATGGAAACTATCCCCTAATCTGTACAGACACAACCTCCTCCCTTTGTGACAGAAGAACCACTCAAATTAGTCATCATGTGGCACAACAGGGCCAGAAATCTCTGATGGCAAAGACATTGCAAATAGCTGGGAAACCGCATGTGGGACGTGTGTGAGAGGCAGGTGATGCCCTTTGGAAGTGGCTCTGCTACCTATGAAGAAAAAGATCTTGCTGCAACTGATCTCTTTCAAGAAATTCTACCTCCCTCCATCTGTCCCAGTTCCTCACTCCTACTCCCTTTTCATACATTTCTATCTTCTCCATTGTGCCAAATGCATTTCCCTGACTTTGTCTGTGAGGTTATAGTTTAATTGAGAGGCCGTAAACATCCACAGGCCAGGGGAAGAAATGATAGATGGATTTTTAAAATACTTTCTCCATATTGATTACTAGCAGCTTCTAGAACTTCTCCCAAGCCACACACAGCAGTAGCATTTGGAACATCACACTGCAACAGCGGATTTAAACAAAATCTCACGAATAAGCAAATTGTTTACAAAAATTGTAATTGCATAATTTTTTGTTACCTTTTCCATTCAGACCACTGAAGTTAACATCAAATAATAGTGTTATTCACCAGCTGACAAGTTTCTACATGTCAAGACAACAGAATTTAAGAATCCAGGCATCAGATCTTTCCAAGCTCAGCAAAAGAAAGAACCTCAGCATCCAGCTTCGGGAGGACCTTCCACCTTCCAGCACATCCTCAAAGTTCTAGAAAACCACAACGAATTTCTGTGCATTTCTTAACAGATTTTAAAAGCTGTTGTTTTGCAAAATTTCTTCAGAAAGGAAATAGAACCATGACTTTCTCTAATCTTGCCTTATATTAATTTTCAGAAAAGAGTGAGGCAGTCATTATCATCCCTGCTGAAGCTGCTCCAGCCCCAGCTGCCTCAGAGTCACCTGCTCCACCAGCAGAAAGCAGCCAAAGCCCAGAAGGTAATCGAGAACTAACCCTGTTACCAAGTCTGATTCATTAATCCCAGGCACAATTATAAACAGGGTGGGTGGAAAGCAGCCCTGAAGAGAAGGACTTGGGGGCGTTGATAGACGAGAAGCTCAACGTGAGCCGGCAGTGCGCTCATGCAGCCCAGAAGGGTAACCGCATCCTGGGATGTGTCAAGAGAAGTGTGGTCAGCAGGTCCACTTTGCTCTTGTGAGAGCCCACCTCGAATACCGCGTCCAGTTCTGGTGTCCCCACCATAAGAGGGACATAGATCTGTTGGAACGAGTTCAGAGGAGGCCACAAGGATGATCCAGGGGCTGGAGCACCTCTGATCTGAGGATAGGCTGTGGGAGCTGGGCTTGTTCAGCCTGGAGAGGAGAAGACTCTGGGGGGACCTAATAGCTGCCTTCCAATACCTGAAGGGAACCTACAGGAAGGCTGGGAAGGGACTTTTGTAAAAGGTGTCCACTGATAAGACAAGGGGAAATGGAGTTAAATCAAAGGAGAGTAGATTTAGATTGGATCTTAGGAAGAAATTCTTCAGTACAAGGGTAGCAAGACTCTGAAGTAAGTTGTCCCGAGAAGTCGTGGCTGCCCCCTCCCTGGAGATGTTGAGCAGCCTGGTCTAATTGAGAGGCATCCCTGCCCATGGTAGGGAGGTCGGATAAGGTGATCTCTAAGGTCTCTTCCAACCTAAGCCATTCTATGATTCTATGATTAACAGAAGGGAAAAACATGAACAGGGAATCCTTAGAGTCAGTGAGGTGTGGAGAGTAGCTGAAACTTGGGCTTTTGAGGTCCCCTCCAACCCCTAACATTCTGTGATTCTGTGAAAGCAGACCACTAGTGATGAATGACAGACAACAAAGAGAAAGGCATCTGAGACAGAATAACCGCATTGAGATACTTTGAAATGACTTAACAAATTCGCTATAAAGGCTGCAACAGAACCCAACGCAGAAAGTTCTAACGACTAATTCTGATATTGACTTCAGTCGTGCCTGTCGGGACCCAGCCAGAAGAGCCTCTGGACCCTATCGGGCTCTTTGTGACCCGACCCCAGGATGGAGAAGTCACTGTCGGTGAGTACAGAATGTGAGGCAAGCGATGTCTGTAACCTGCACCTGTTACTTTGTTATTTAGCTCCACATGTGCAGGACAACAGCAGTGATGTAACAGGTAAAGCTAAACATTACTCCTAATCTCCTTTCAACCTGCTTTCCCCTGAAAGGTGGCAACATCACGTTCACTGCCAGAGTGGCAGGGGAGAGCCTGCTGAAGAAACCAATGGTGAAGTGGTTCAAGGGAAAATGGATGGACCTGGGAAGCAAAGTGGGGAAACATCTGCAGCTGCACGACAGCTATGACCGAAATAGCAAAGTATGACTGGTGGAGTAAGGCCCTCGGTCCTCTAGACACTAACCTTTAATCTTACAGGGAAAGCTAATATCGGGATGTTTCAGTACTAAAGCACACGAAGCCACACGCAAAGCTATGCTCAGTTACAGAGATCTATGTTTTGTCCGCACACACGAGAGACAAGCTCTCCCTCACCTCATGCCTGAGGAAGGCCAACTTGGTGAGCTACTCGGGTTTGACCTGGCCATAGGCGGCTCAGCCGAGGACAGAAAGGGCAAGGGCTGCCACAGAGCCAGGAAATTTGATGTGGCCACAGGGGAGCTG